TGGCTATGGAAGCGACTGGAACACCTGAATTCATTTCAGCAAAATTACAAAGTATTCATGGCTGTAGCTAATTGCTTTATTGAAGACCTGGATGAGTGAAAACTTTTTTCACTAAATGCTCAGAAAACCAAGGATCTGTTGTTTGGCGGCAAGCCTGTGGATAGCAAAGCTATAATCTCTGCATTCCCTAAGCAGCTCAACCCATAACCTAGGTGTCATCTTAGATACAAGCCTCTCATTAAATTCACATGTGGATGCAGTATCGAAGGTAAGCTACCTACAGCTACAGTATGTAACCAAACTATGACTTACTGTTTAAGACACTGAGAAAATGATACAGTTTGTATACAGTAGGTTAGAGCACTGTAATGCTCTGTTATCTGGGAGCACGCACTGCACATTACAGCATATTCAAAATGCAGCTGCTCAAATTGTCACCAGGAGCTGGAAGTTGGTTCTTAGTTCCCTGCATTGGCTTCCTGTTAGGTTCAGGACTTCCTTCAAAATTCTCCTACTTACATATAAGGCACTTAAAGGTCTAGCATCTGCCTACCTAATTGAAGTTTACACGCTTCATCGTCCACTCAGATCACAAGGCAGGTTTCCTTGTAGTTCCACATATAAATAAGGTGACAGTTGTCTGTAAAGTGTTCTGCTACAGGGTATTGTGGGATGGTTTGCCAGCTTTTGTTCAGGATGCCGAATCAGTCTCAGTCTTTAAATCTCAGCTGAAAAGCTATTACTTCAGTTTAGTTTACCCACAATTTAACACACTTGCTGCTGCTGTACATGCCATTTTTATCTACTATGCTCATCTATTAATGTGTCAATGGATGTTTTGACCATCCTTTCCACATGTCCAGGGGGGTATTCCTTGAAAGTAGCTAAAGAAAGCCAGACTTGCCCAAAAAAGTCAAACTCAAACTAGCGCCATCTCTAAACTTAGCCTCATGGCGATCTACTAGTGCAGTTCAGCTGTAACTAATCAAGGCTCATACAAGACAGACTTAAATAAAGCCAGGGAGTTGGCTTAGCAAAGGATTGGAGACAGACTACAGTACATGCATAAGTTATGTAAATGTTACAAGTGCCTAGAACAGTGGTACCATGGTCCATGTGAAATGTTCTGCGCAAATATCTTGTCTTTGCTTTTTACTAATAAAATTTCATAGTAGACTGTGAATAAACAAAATATAAAAATATCTTCCTGATCATATTATTTTAACAGATTTTTTTTCAAGTTCAGTCATGTTTAACCTTTGTAATATGGATACGGTTTTATCTGAATTATTTTGGAATTTATTGCAATGCTGAAACATTATTTTTATAAGCTTTATTATATTTATTATATGACATGAGTTGTGAGAGCACAGAATTTCGTCCGACGGAAAGATCTTTTGGGAATCTGTTCCCACAAGTCGGACGTTCTTTGAGACAACGCTAAACTGAGCGAGACAGCCTGGTCCGGAGCACACATGTTCTTTGTCTAAGTTACCATGGTAGCTCAGCGGGGATTCATTTAAGACACATTGATGGAATGGAACTCCCACTTAAAAGACCCAGACTAGTTGAAATAAGTCAGACTTTCACTTAATCCTGCTTCGTGGAACACCTCCCAAGTGGTTCCTTGGGGGAGTTCAGTCCCATGGAAGGGTGACATTGTGGACGCGATTTACAAATTACAACATCATGCGTGCAGACTTCAGTCTGTTATGAGTGATGAGGCTCAAGTAGCTAGTAGGTTACTCATCATGTTCATTTGGTTGTCCTGTTTCAGGTCACAAACACACACACCCACAAACAAACCATGTTTACATACTTGTCAGACCTATACATACCCATTGTTAAACAGTAAAGCATAATCCGCTTGTTTACCTACAGCCGTGGCCAAAAGTTTTGAGAATGACACATATTAATTTTCACAAAGTCTTCTGCCTCAGTTTTTATGATGACAATTTGCATATAATCCAGAATGTTCTGAAGAGTGATCAGATGAATTGCAATTAAGTCCCTCTTTGCCATGAAAATGAACTTAATCCCAAACAACCCATTTCCACTGTATTTCAGCCCTGCCACAAAAGGACCTGCTGACATAATTTCAGTGATTCTCTTGTTAACATATGGTGAGATTGTTGACAAAGGGCAAGGCTGGAAATCACTCTGTCATGTTTATTGAGTTAGAATAGCAGGCTGGATGCTTTAAAAGGAGGGTTGGGCTTGAAATCATTGTAATTCCTCTGCTCACTATGGTTACCTGCAAGGAAACACGTGCAGTCATCATTGCTTTGCACAAAAAAGGCTTCACAGGCAATGATATTGCTGCTAGTAAGATTGCACCTAAATCAACCATTTATCAGATCATGAAGAACTTCAAGGAGAGAGGTTCAATTGTTGTGGAGAATGCTTCAGGGCACCCCAGAAAGTCCAGCAAGTGCCAGGACCGTCTCCTTAAGTTGATCAGCTGTGGGATCGGGGCACCACCAGTGCAGAGCTTGCTCTGGAATGGCCGCAGGCAGGTGTTAGTGCATCTGCATGCACAGTGAGATGAAGACTTTTGGAGGATGGCCTGGTGTCAAGAAGGGCAGCAAAGAAGCCACTTCTCTCCAAGAAAAACATCAGGGACAGACTGATATTCTGCAAAAGGTACCGGGATTGGACTGCTGAGGATTGGGGTAAAGTAATTTTCTCTGATGAATTCCCTTTCCGATTGTTTGGGGCATCTGGAAAAAAGATCCAAGTCTGGAGAGGGAAAGGTCCATCAGTCCTGTGTCATGCCAACAGTGAAGCATCCTGAGACCATTCATGTGTGGGGTTGCATCTCAGCCTAGGGAGTGGGCTCACTCACAGTTTTGCCTAAGAACACAGTCATGACTAAAGAATGGTACCAAAACATCCTCCGAGAGCATCTTCTCCCAACCATCAAAGAACAGTTTGGTGCCAAACATTGCCTTTTCCAGCATGATGGAGCACCATACTATAAGGCAAAAGTGATAACTAAGTAGCTTGGGGAACAAAACATTGACATTTTGGGTCCATGGTCAGGAAACTCCCCAGACCTTAATCACATTGAGAACTTGTGGTCAGTCCTCAAGAGGCGGGTGGACAAACAAAATCCACAATGACAAACTCCAACCATTGATTATGCAATAATAGGCTGCCATCAGTTGATTGACAGCATGCCAGGGTGGATTGCAGAAGTCTTGAAAAAGAAGGGCCAACACTGCAAATATTGACTCTTTGCATAAACTTAATGTAATTGCCAATAAAAGCCTTTGACACTTATGAAATGCTTGTAATTATACTTCAGTATACCATAGAAACATCTGACAAAAAGATCTACAACCACTGAAGCAGCAAACTTTGTGAAAACCAATACTTGAGTCATTCTTCAAAACTTTTGGCCACCGCTGTACACGGTTTTATTTACATAAAATGGGAATTGTGTTACATTTCTTGGTTTTATATTCATAAAATTCAGAAATAGCCTGCATATTTGCAGCTTCGTAAGTGGCACTGGCAATATATTTAGCTGTCTCTTTTTACATCTTGCACAACCTGTGTTAGTAACTTAACAAAGGCCTCCCCTGTTGTTTTGTCATAGTTAATGACAGCAATGAGCCTCGCACAGACAATATTAGTGACATACCTGAGAATTACTGAGCATTGCTCCTTGAGTCTTGTCAAGCTATACTGAAAACATCTCTGCCTCCCTCGCTTCCTTCGCAATACTCTCCTTCATGGCCACTGGTTCAATGGTTTGAATAACTGCATGGACTGTAGTGTTTGACAAGGTACACTGTAAAGAATGTATGTGATTTTAATGTGAAATAATGTAAAATTCTGCAGGTAAAAAACTATAAATCATAAAATACTAAATTACTGTAATTTTCTATTGACATATAGCTTATAAATATAGTTAGTAAAAATACAAGAATCTGTTTAATTTAATGTATTTAGTAAACAATACAGAATTTTGTTGTTTGAAAAATTAACCCTGCCAAATTAGTGGTAAATTTAAGACTAAACCATAAAATCCAGTATTATTCACAGAACAAGGCTGTTTGCAATATACATTATTCTTGTATTTTTTTTACAGCATAATCAAAATCTTATAGGCATACTAAAGAATCTACCTTACATTTTACAAAAATAAGCAAACAAATTTTAAAAGTGCACAGTAGCTAAGCAAATAGGCTTACAAAAATCTGAAAAAACTAGATTACCAGTATTAATCAAATAATAATAAATTAGCAGATGGTAACATGCATTTAAAATGTGCAGTTAAAAAAGATAGCTCTAGAATTTTTAATTTACTTTTTGCATTTTTTATTCATTATTTCGTTTTATATGTTTTAAATATGTGTATTTGTACCCTTACTTTGAGATTCTAATTTTTTTCACTTTTAACGTCATGCATTAATGAAAAAGTGCTTAAACTTATCTGCACCCAATAGAGTACAGCATAAAGCCACCTGTTTGCACTTGTCATGACCTGCTCGTCCGATCGTTCTGTGTGCAACTCCCCCTCATTTACCTCGTGTGAAACCCTGATTATCAGCTGTTTCATGTTATTTCTCAGTAGTCCTGTGTATTTAAGTCCGCGTTCAAGTCTGTTTCCCCAGTCTGGCCATTGAAGTAGTGTGAAGTCTTTACCGTGTGTATGTGTCTTGCCCGCAATAAAAACTAGTTTTGGATTCCCCGCTCTCTACTCGCTCGTCCTGCACACGGACGTTACAGCACTATTGTACCCTCAGCGTGTATGCATTCCCATGTAGTATTGTCCTACTTGATTTTATTAATCTTAAAAATAATGTCTTGAAAATATGAATAATTTTATGTAAAATACATTGTAGGGAGTGACACGAGACAATTGTTCAGTACGCATCTGTGGAGGGAAGTCTACAAAACAGGAGGTCCCCAACGTGTGGAATGTTAGTAATTACAAAAATATATTGAGGCACTTGGCAGAGTAAGGCATTGCAGCAGTGGCAAATGACAAGGAGGGGAGAACACTCACTTTTATTAAGTCCTTAACAGGACACTCAACAAGCACTGAAGCCAAACATACTAGGGAAGAGCAGAGAGGTTGGACGGCCAACAGTTAGGTACACATATGGTGGGTAATTTACACAATAACTAGTAATGCGGAAGTCATCCCACTGGCGCTATACTGCCCTCTCCCTCAAAGGTCGAGCATCTCGGCAACCACCACACCCAGTCCCCACATCAACTCTGGGACAAGAGGAGGGTAGCCTCAGTTGGTTAAGCTGACAGCTGGGGTCATGCCGCAGCTCCTCGTGGCTGGCGAGCAGACAGTCCTTGTTGGCTAGTGAGCAGGCAGAGCCTCTGGGAGCTCCAGCCTTCCCCGCTCGCTGATGCCGTCTGAGACGGGGAGCAGTCAGGTCGGCAGGGGCAGCGACCAGGTTCGCTGCACAGATCCAATGCTCCTCAGAAGGATGGGGTGTCACCTCCCTCGTTCCGTCATCCCCTGCTCGTCTGCTGTTGCTGTTGCTTCTGGGCAGTAGCGTGCCCAGTGTCCTTTCCTCCCACAGCACCAGCAGATGAGCTTTATCTCTCGAGCCGTCCTCATCTGAGTAGTACCGCTGCTTCTCCAGTGCCACCACTTCTCTGCTGCCTGCAAGCCCACCAGGCTGGAGTGGACTTGCTGTCTGATGTTGAGGAGCACACGCTTCAACAACGGCAGTGGGGCTGCTTCTGGCATCCCACTTCTGACATCATTGTAATGCTTGGCAGAACGAGGCATGGTGGCGACAACGAACAGTGAGGAGGCCTCTTTACGAAAACACATCCTATTATTAAGTCCTTAACAGGGTTAACACAGGCACTCAGCAAGCAGTGGAACCAAACATGAATAAAACCAAGAAATGTGCAACTAATTAAAATAGCTATGGCAATTAAAACAATTAAGATGTCATCTTAAATGCAAGCAATTAAAAGAGGAACACAACCCACAGACCTCTATCCCTTACACAAGGTTTGGGCTAAAACAGGGGTATATACATTCCTAAAACACCCACGACTTTGAGAATAAAACTAGGTTAATTACAAAATATATAAAACATGTAAGTTACACTACATAATTGTTATGCTGTTGTGCTACAAGTGATCAACCAAAACACACTGCTCAGTAAATTTTGTGCAATTACCTAGTTTAAAACCATCAAAAAACACAGACACAAACAAACAAAGCACACTTACCTCAAACCCAAAGTACCTGACTTAACTAGAGACAGGCAAGGATCAGACAGGTTTCACACAAGACACGGGCAAGCATACACACCACAAAACGAAATGGTACAAGTATTTATAATACAAACAGGGGCTATATACATGACTTGTGAGCATGCTGGGATATGCCAAGTATCGAAGAAGCCAACACACCAGCCACTACATGCAAAGAGTATGTAACAGTGCACGTCTGACATCCTGTTAACTGGTTGTATGGTGATGGCATAGTCAACCTCTAGGCTGTCCTTTAACTTTAAATGCACTAGTTAAATGTTTCATCCCATGAATAGTGAACAGTATGCCCACAGTGTGCCGAATGTAGGGTCTGACTTAAGCAAGTGTCAGGGTCAGCACCCATCTGACCCTGTCCTTTTGCATCTTCCCCGTTTGGCCAGCAGCCATCGCTGGCCAGCCCTTTTGTTGTCTCATTGTCTTTGGCTTTAGTGTGTGATCCCTGTTCTCCAGACTGCTGTATGGCTCAGTGAGTTGAGTGTGCAGCACAGAGAGTAGAATTCTCTGTTCCTGGGTTCAATACTGCCCAGAAAATAGCATCATTGCTTTCTCTTAATTGTTAGTTTTTCTGTTTTTTTTCCCCCTAGTTTTTATTATGTCTGTGTTCTCCTTGTCAAACTTGTGCTTTGTATTATTATGTTCCTTTTGTCCTATATTTTCTGAGCCAATTCCTAGTGTGTGCTTACCTGTTTCTTGCTTTCAGTGTTTGTTGGAGTTTCCTTAGTCTTGTGTCCATTAGAATAAGTTGTACCTGTTGCCTGTTCTCCCTGCACCTTTGTTATTGGTTGATTGTCTGATTTTCCACACCTTGTCCCTCTCGTTAACCCAGTTGCCTTTTGCATTTAAGTGCCTGCCCCTGGTCAGTTCTTGAGTCAGTCATTGTGAGTGTTAGATGTGTGCTATGATACTGTGTGTTGGAAGTGCTGGGGGGGGGGTTTCTTTAATAAACCCCTGATGTCTCTTGAAGCCACAAGTGGATCGTCTCCTTTCTCTGCCTGCAGCATGCCCCGTGTTGTAACAAAAGGTGACTGTCATGTCAATCAACTAGTCAGCTAGCGACCAAGCCTCAGCTGTCATGGACTTGCTTGGTACTTTGCTGTACTGCTGGATTGTGAATATATTTAACTGCTCTGTCTGTGGTGGCTGTTTACTTCAAATCTCCTTTACCACTTGCAAGTGCTGTCCAGATTGTTCGATCCTCCTGTGTGCCATACCCCCTTGTATACCTCGTTTGGAATCCTCTTATCAGCTGTTTAGTTGTGTTAACTGTCTGTAAGTGGGTGTCTGATTCCCCAGTCAGGTCATTTGACATCATTCCGTGTGCCTGAGTATATTCTGAATAAACCCTGTGTTCCCCCGACTCCTGTACCTGCACTTTGTGATGGCTGTTTTTCCCATATGCCGTGTTTCACATGCACAGGATAATCAAGTAATTCGTTTGAATTCCATTTACATGCAATTCATTGAATTGATTCCTTAATTTTATAGTTGGATTAAAAGTATAAAGTGACTCGTTTCCTTTTTTTGCAAGCTTATCCAATTGAGGAAAACACTTTGGTATAACTTTATTTGAGGGGGCACAAGTAACTTGATTTCTTGTCACATACATGTCATGGAAACCTGCATGAAATATGAACCATTATGATTGATTAAAGATGAATGAACATGGGATCAGTACATAACATTTAGTTTCTGGTTAGAGTGTGTACTACGTTATTTGTGCCCCCTCAAGTGAAGCGTTACCAACGTTTCTTTATATTCTGGCTATCGAGCACCCTATTAGTCCAACGACATTAAGTCTGCACAAGATATGGTCCAGATTCAAATTTGCAGTATTCTTTAAACAACAAACTCAGCATAGAGGTAACTGGTAGAGATTGACAGCTTGGCCCCTCGAGGAAAAAACAAAAGCAATGCATAAAAAGCAAAAAACAAAGCAATATGGAAAAAATAAAAGCAATATAGGAAGCGGAAAAACCAATAGGGGAAAGCAATATGGAAAAATAAAGAAGCATTAGTTTATTTCTATTTTGCCTCTTTACTCAGCATTTTTTCTTTTACAAATTTCTTCTTTTATGGCACTCCTATGATTTCATAAGTTCTAAAGTAAGATTATGACAAATTAGATAAGGGTTTTTTTTTGTGTGAGAATATCACCTTAAGTAAATTTTACATTTTTGCGATCAGTTGGTTAAAACCAAATATTTGGGCTAGGTCCTCAAAAAAGGATTGCATGCAGATAATTTTATTTTCAAATTTTAGCACCTTTAAATTTAAGAAAACCACAGTGACACAAAAAGTAGCATGATGTCATTGACCCACATTTATACACATGGACCAGATGAACAGTGTTTAATGTTTGAAGCAAAACACTAGCTTATGTTCAATGTAAATATTGTTCAATACATGTGTGTAATACTCAATGGTATTTTTACATTAATGTTTTTATGATGTAAAATAATGGTATACTGGAAATTATATGGTTTAATATAATTACATTGAATAATTTAAGTGATATACATGCACACATACCAGTCATAGGCAAAACAATGCTAAATTTGGCTGAATTATAAAATCCAGAAGTGGTACTAAATGAAGAGCCTTTGCGAACCCAAAGATGATCTGGTTCATTAAAAAGAGCCAGAATTCCCATCAATACAGAGCACATTTCACTCCATACTGTGACCATGTACTCTCAACAATCATACATCACAACATGCATGGTAGAATTAATATATAACAAATTGAAAATCAATTACCATTTGTGTTACATATTTGGTAAACACTTTCCTAAATACCATTTCCGAAATAATCTCCGGAACCAGACCCAAAACAGGAATATCATGAAGATCAAGTAACAGATATAGGCAACAGATCCATAAATCAAGAACTTGATCTCCATTTGCTTCTCCTCTGATTTCCAGTTCTGGGTGGTCTCGCACTATATGCTGTACACAAGCCCACTCATTGAAATGACTGCCCACAATGAAGGAGGAATAAGTGGGACATAATTGCTCACTATCTTACATCTGCCAGGGGTGCCCTAGGTGCTCTTATTCATGGTGAAAATGGCAAAGTACTTGGCAGGGAGGAGGCTCGTCTTCTACAGCATGGAGGAAACAGGCATAGGCAGCCTTGACTAGGCCAATGATCTGAATGCAGCAGAGGACCCAGAGGATGTTCGAAATGGTCCCAGTCCAGAACAGCTTAATAACAATCCCAGTGACAAAGAAAGGAAAGACTCCAGCTACAATAGATTCATAGGTCACTAGAGATGAGGCAGACACCAGTGGGACATAAGGAGACGAAACAGGAGCTGGCAGGACATCAGGAGTCTGGGTGAGGCCAAGACACCTGGAGATTAGAGGGGTGTAGCTGGGACACCTGGAGGCAAACAGGGTGCAGCTGGGCCACCTGCACTAGGAGTGGGCAATGCGGCCCTTCCAGGGCCAGGAGCCTGGGGCATGGGCAGAGTGGCATTTAAAGTTAAACAGGACCTCAAGGGATCAAAACAAGAATGCTACACATTAGAAGGACACGGGCTGACAGGCGGAGCAACATTAATGACTGGACTGGGGAACACAGGACTGGGAAGCATGTATATACCCGACCAGGGGTGTGCTACTGTGTGTGCGGGTTTTCGCTGCAACTCCCTAATTAGATTACTAATTATAGAGGTCTGATTAGATGAAGAGTACCCACCCCTGGGTTTGAACAGCTGGCCTAAAGGTTATTCCAAAAACCTGCATATACAGTGGCCCTTTGCGATTAAGATTGCTCAACCCTGAACAAGACTCTTCACCATTTGGTTATATGAGCCCAGTTTGACAGGCTCTATCTCAGAATTTTCCCATAATGCATAAACAAGTCTTGTTTAAACAATAAGCCATGGATTTCAAAGCTTGCTCAAACATGGTAAAAGTTGACCAAAATTTGCTTGTAAATAGCCTAGGACCTTGAGCTTCATAAGGTATGATTTGTTTATGCACTATAGGAAAGTAAAAATGTTATTGTACATCCTGTACTTCATACTTTCGACACTACATGTTGAAGCATTCTACTACACGCAATCGCAGTCTTATTTTCCTATGCCTGAGCAGGCATATGGGCGACCCTCACAAAATGAGCACGGATGATTTGACCGTGTATGGCAAAGCATAGACAGCTTCACTGCATTAACTTCCAGGTCTTACAAAGGACGTTTCCCTTTTGGTCACATGTATTCTTTAGAAGAGCACATCTATTTGCCATTTCATTACATCCAAACTAATGATAATCAGGATAGCCGTTGTGTCCACATTTTACCATTTGACAACATTATTTGGAAAAATATGGTACATTTTTTCAGCTAATAGTGAGAAGCAGTACAGAAACCATAGTTAGAAACATATAGGTATTATATATACTATTAAATGACAAATTAATGCAATATGAATATGTTTACTGTGTATAACTGCTGTTTATCTATGACACTGCTTATATATATAGACTACAATCTCAGTACAATTTCTTGGAAAACTATGGATTTTTTTTCTTTTTCTTCTAGCTATTGAAAAGATCACAGGCTAAGTCAAGTTTACCTGGTAAAAAAAACGGTAATTTTCTGGCAGCAGGGGCGCCAGAAAATGTCTGTTAAAAAAACAGAAAAAAACTGTCAGAAAAAAAAAATGTAAACTGTTAAAATACAGTAATTTCTTATTTCACAATTATGGATAATTACTGTAATTCTACATTGAATCTCTTTAATAATTCTATTAAATGTTTTACTTTTAGCATATAATAACTGTCAGAAAACAATACACTGTTAAAATAGAATAATTATCTTTAAAGAATGATTTAAAAATGCTTAGGAACAGATATTTACTGTTGTTTTATAAGAAAATAACTGTAAAACTAAGTGCAAAAAATGTTATATATACTGTAGATTATATATTTTTTATTATTCTTATTTATGGGATATGTAGGTTAAACTGCAAAAAGATTTAAGATAAAAATACGAAACCTTGATTTTTGTTTGGGTTTTATTGTTTGTTATTTGCAAATATTATGACAACATTAACAACATCTTAGCATCAATGTTAAACAACAACCAATTTTTAACCATTAATCAGTTTTTACGGTATTAATTATTAATTTTTTTTATTCCTACACATGTATCACAAAGCCTACATTACTAACTAAACTAAACATTATTTAACTGAAATATTAAAATACTATTCAGGATCCACTGCTCAATCATTTTTCCACCCCTCACTCACCCACCAAAGAAATAACTGCAGAATGAACAGTTTAACAATAAAGAATATAATAAGAAAATTGAAATGCAGTGGAAGATGCTGGCAATACAAATTGAAGTGAAGATGCTGGCAATACAAGAAGCTTTCTACTCTCTCCATTCAAAGTTAGCAATGTTTGTAATCAATGGAAGAACCTTGGGATTAACAGACTGCTGTTTTTTAGACTCTCTTCTCCACCTTGGTCCCCTTATCTGGATTTATCTCGAAAAGGCACCTGCGAAGACAGAAAAAAAAAACTCAATATAGTGCCACAAACAATATGATCAGCAATTCTGTGGATAAGCTATATAATTTTTATAAAGCAGTTTTTAAATTATAATTAAAAAACAAATTTGAATAGTGTAATCCATTGAATAAGAATAAAGAGGTCCAGTAATCTAGACAGTGTACTACACAAAGGAACAATTTATCTGATCTATAAAGGTTGCATCTGTATACACCTTCTTTTGCTAAAAAAAAAAACAATAATAATAAATTTTCTAGTGACACTTTCAAGTCTTACCTCTGCATGAACTCCAGAGTTGCACCAAGTTCCGCTGTATAGCTGATGTTGAGGCAGTAGTACATCACAAACATCATTAAGGCCCTCATCACAATTTGTGATATCATCTTTCACAATGATCTGGTCCACAGCAATCATAAAGAGTCCGGCTGTCAGAGGAGAACTCCCTACAGTACACATAAGAAAAAATAAGAGAAAACAATTTAGTTAAAAGAACACTAACATTGTGACAATTACAGTATTAGGCTTGCATGTCATTCAGAATGGCACAAGTGTAATCCAAGTGACTTGTGTGGTTTAACCAAAGTTTTCTGAAGCAATACAATTACTATTAAAATGAAGTTGTTACATTTAATAAACTTATGTATACAATAAAAGATCTGTGCTGAGATTTAGAAACTTTTGTGACACTTTAATGTGGTATGTATGACACTAATAAGTTATGATTTGATACTATACCCATTAATAAACAACCTACTTGTAATATAAAGTGTCCAAATTTGTTAAGAGGCCTTGAACTAATGAATAACATGGATTACACTGATGATAGAGCATCAACTTATTGGTTACCATTCACAGCTTTAAAGTATCAACATAAAAATCAGTCATCTTTAAACAAATTTGTGCTGTAAAAATGGACGAAAGTCATACAGTACATGTTTGGAATGACATAATTGAGATTACATGGCAATTGTTTCTTATTGCTTGACTACCCTCTAAATTAACTTTTCAAAAATGTAGAGTGGAACTAAATTACTAGTACTACCACCAGGGTCTAATAAAAATAATAATAATAATAATAATAATAATAATAATAATAATAATAAACCCTTTAGCTTAATATATCTAAGGGTTTACTAGAATCCCCAGCAAGCTCCAGAAGTAATATACTTGATATAAATTAAAATGCCTTTTGGTTAAGTGAGAGAAAATAAAAATCATACCACATACAACAATGCAAGGTGTGCTGGGTAGTTGATCAACTTCAGATGGAAGACTTGCCTCATCAACCAACTGGAACGTCTTGGCCTGTACTTCATTGAAGTATTTCAGAAGTAGCAACACACATCCAGGAAGATCAGCATCTAGATCCTTTGCTTTAGCAATTTCCATGCCTGATAAGATGTCCTCAATTTTGCTCTTCTTCTCATTGGAGATGAGATATGAAATGACTCTTTTACATTTACTTGAAATGGCTTCTCTGTCAACATCCATACCCATTTACTCTTTGAAGTGAACCATTATCCCACACATCTCGAACAGATATGGTCACTCTTTCACCAGAACAGGGGTCTCCATTCCACTTATGATGTTGCTTCTCTGAGTGTAGAAAGTTGCCACCATTTTTTTCAATACTTTGTGTTCTTGCTTTTGTTTTTGTGCATGTTCTTTAATTCCTCTTGTGTACATTTCTGAGTCTCTTCCGTTTCATTAAGTGGCAAGCACTTTGGTTGCCAGTTTATACAGTCATACGTATCCACTCTTATCTTGGAAGGTGGGTCTTCTCCCTCACTTGTGCTGGATGTCTGTCTTTTCAGGAAAAGAGAGTTTTTCCCCCTTCTCATGTTGTCAACTCTACTCTGCAGCTGCTTGGTGAGGGAGTCATAACCACTACCTATAACTTGATCTTCAATGATATCTCGGTATGACTGAGGATATGTTGAAATAATCTTCCTGGCAATTTCACTAAGATGTTTCTTCCCTGGTGAAGGGCAGATGGTCAGGATCTCAGCTACCATCAGCCGAATCAGTTCACGTCTTTCATGCCTTGTTGGTCGCTCCTTGTTTTTTAGCTTTCTGGTAATTTCTGATTGCATTTTACTCCAGGGTATCTCAAAATTGAAGTGCCAGTTGGTGTCCACTGGAGAGGGTCTATGAGGGTTTGAGATTTCACTTGAACTTGTAGATGGCGGAGAGTTGGAATTATCTGCACTGTATTCACCGATAGAGAGAGAAAATATGTATTTAAAAGAGTTCATTAAATTGAAGCAATAACTACAAGCCCTGAAACATTAGCAAGATCACATAATACTTTATGTAGGCTTTAGATATACTTGATGTACCTCTGTTTAATTAATCATTACAAGATCATTTTTTTTTTAAATCAGCCAAAAGTTTTAAATCAAACACACTTGTAGATGAAGGCTCTCTGCATAGTGTTAGATTCGGCTGAGCTCTGGTAAGTCGATCAGGAATCTCATCTGCATCTTTCTCACCTGGAGAGACAAAATAGGAATTAGCTTTGCTATAAATCGCTTGCAAATATAGAATAATAGAATTAATCTCTTATGTTGTGAGGATATAATATACTTGCAATTAAATGTACTTACATAAAGCATTAATACGTCCAATAATTTTCTAGCTTGGCCTCAGGACGTTAACAAGATCTGGCTCCTGGACATATTTTAGATCTTCCAGGGTTTCCACACCTAAGGACTGAAGAGTCTCCAACATCAGGTCTTTTGAACTTGAATTTGGCAACACAGATCCAATGAAGTCAGCAAGCTCACTGTCTACATCACCCATTATTAAGAAAAAAGGTGTAAGACATAATTTAGTGTTAGGCTAAGCATTCTTAATTGGCCAAATAAATCTTCAAACCTTTAGCCTGAATTATATTTTAGTATATGTGTCTGCATCTTTGTTAGTGGATGAGGGTTTCTGTTTTGACAACTCTCAAAACCAGAAAAATATTTAGGGCCCAATGTCATGCAGTTAACCAACACCTAATTTATAAGCCTTTTAGATATCCTCAAACATGACTTTAAAGTCCACAGTCAAGTACAATCATCATTATATTAACTGGTGCTCAGTCACAATCACTGTCACTTTTTCCTACTCAGCATCTACTATGCTGTGCTTAAGAGAAATGACTCTAGTTCCGCACAAATGATAAGCGGGCAATGGATAATAATCCAACAACAGCTCTCCATTTAGGCACTTCATGTCCCCACATGCTGTGTGAATTTCATACAGTCCCAACTCCTCCAAGTAAGATGAACTATGAGGAGTTACAAGGAAGTACACATTTTTATCCATCATTAGTATGAGTCGGATTTGTCCAAACTCTGTTGGCATGCAAGGACTTGTGCAAAGGAAAAAGCTCTTTTTGTAAAGAGTGCCTCTCCACAGTACCTCAGTAGATGCTATGAGAGCACACTGATCAGGAAAGCTTGCTTCTACTGCACTGCGTACTGCGTCATTATACAAGTCGGTGTGGAAAGGCGTGGACTGTTTCACTTGCAAAGTAGGAGCAAAGACAGAACTGGAGTATAGATATGTTTGGAGAAGTTGGTGGTTATTCGCAAGTGTCTGGCAGATATTTTTGAAGTTTTGTGTTCTTCTCACACATCTTTTAAAGTAAGAATGCTTGCTTTCAAATCACATTGTCCACAGTCTTATCAGAGGGCCAAACTTCAGTATCAAAGCAGGATAATGCAAAATGTAATGGTGTTTCAGTTTTAGTTTTAGATCAGGAAACATCTCCCTTCTTGTCTCTAAATACTCCTCAAGTAGAACACTGAGCAAAGCAATCTGAGAGTCAGAGATTTTAGGGGCACATATTAATTCCACAACTTCTTTCAGGTGGACAGTTAGCTGCCATATCGGGTCATCTGTGTCTGTTGTTATCTTCTCACCTATTATAATAGGAAGAAGCCTCAGGAGAGACCAGTTTTCTGTTGCATTGCCACCTACTTTATCTCCTTTTTCTGCAACCTCTGAAGGAGTAGAAGTTGCGTCAGATCCACGATAGCTAAACTGCTTGATTCTTCGGTTTAGCTGACTGTAGGTGAAAAATTTCTTCACCTTCACAAAGTATTTGACGTAAATGGACAAGTCATATGCCACAACTCCTTCAAACACATCATGACCAATACAAGGTGGGAGGCCAGGCTGACAGACATGAAAGTAGATGAGGGAGTTGAAAACTAAATCAAATTTTACACCTCTGCTTTCTCTCAGGGCACCACTTTGTATTTCTCGTACTGCCTCATTGTAGTTTTGCACTGTTCTGAGTGGGGCTCCTTGAGAATCATGGAACTCCTTTCTAGTTACCAGACAATATCTACAGAAGTAAGCAGAAGTACTGAAATTCTCTGAAACCTCCAATATTGTGGGATCCCAAATTATCGCCAGCAATGCAAAAAATTGTTGCCTTAACAACATGCCCAGAGATGACAAGTCCATTTGTCTCTAGTTCCTTTATATCTGACAGCATTGTGGAGAACTCTTTGTCATGTCCAAAATATTGAAGGTGTTCCTCTCTACACTGGAGCACAAGCTGTAGGTTTTCAATGCGGGATCGATAAAATGGGTCAAGGTTGGCCAGTGTAAAGTAAACCCCAAGTATCTTGTTTTTTTTTTTTTTTCGCTGACTCAAGTGGGTTAACAATCTCCAAATAATCTTGATATAGAATGAGCTTTATACTTACACCTGACTTGGCAAACATTGCATTACTTTTGTACACTGAACCATCATTCACATCATTAAATACTTGTGAAGTGTCATCTACAGGCTTTGTACATTCTTGCCACACAATTGGGTCTTTTAGCAAAGCCCGCAAAGTCTCTCTTATTGGGATATACTGAACAAACTGTTCCTTTCGGTTTTCATCAGTGCCTAAACTAATTGCTTGAGGATGCATATAAGAGAAGTTTTTCTGAAAATAATGCCTTCTCAAACAGTCAGTAGAGAGTACGCGGCTACATGATGCATGCAAGCTATTGTCATTTCAACTTGTCAGAACCTCACTGATTTCCGACTCACTCAATTGGGTATTTGCCTGCAGGGCACCTTTAAGTACATTTACTGTGTACTGGTTACACACATCAGTAAGACTGTCTACTTGTTCCACAATCATCTGAATGGTTGAGGAAGGTTCAAGGTATTTGGCCTGTAACTTCATATGAAACATTGCTAAATTCTTCATATACAGTCCTTTCATATCAGATGTGCCCAGGATATCTTCATGCTCATCAGTGCTTACATCTGATGGACTATTGGCAACATCAAGTGACTGACTGGGCACAGAATGAACCAAATGCACAGATGAGACCTGCACAGATGTAGCATTTTTATGATATCTCGAGAGGTGAGAAGGAGGAGGACCTCAATGAAAAGACGTTGACACGACCTTTAAATGGGCACTTAACCTCTTCTTTCTTTCATACATGCAATTTCAAGTGATCTAAAAGTTCTTTCAAATCATTGCACTCTTTCTGGCAATGTGGATTTTGACATTTTTAGTGGACCCTGTACACTGTAAAAAGTAATACATAGATCTAACTTATAAAAAGTGAGGCAAGTGGCTGCATTGGATGTTTTAAGTTGAGTCAACTTGCAGCCTTTTTTAAGTGTAATAAACACTGTAACATTACTTAATACAAACACAACAAAATCAAGTTAACTAATAGTACTAGTATTGCTCAGTTAGATAAACCTACTTTTATTGGTACAGGTAACTTATTTATGGGTTGCTACAAGTAACCTGTACTCATTTTAATTAGGTTTTATGAACTTTATTTTCTTAGCAAAATTAACCTAATCATATGTGAATAAACATTTTAATTGAGTCCTGCCTATAACCTCAGAAAAAAATCTATATAGTCTAAGTACTGCAGTGATTAACTTTACATAAACAGACTTGGTCAATAACAATTACAAATTAAATTGAAGAAGAAAAAGATGGGAAGATAGATTGAAGACAATAACATTTATATGCATGCTGTATAGTTGGGAGCAAATCAAGATTCACAAAATACAATTCTTTTAAAAGTCATATTTTTCGCAGTATACTGCTTCACACTGCAACACAGTTGACCGTCTATGGTGGCGAAAAATATGACTTTTAACGAGGTGGGCATGGCACAGGAGGATCGGACGGAGCTGGGCGTGACACAGGGGATGCTTTTGGAGGTTGAATTGCCAAAGATCACTTTTAAAAACGTTTTTAAAAAAATTTTAAAAATCGATTCGTTCAGACTTACGAATCGGTTCAACCCCATTCACTAAAAAAAACGAGCTAAAAAGAACCATTCGTTCGCGAATCGGCCATCACTAATGCATTCATTGATAAAATAGCACAAGGGATGGAACGGGGGGGATGTTCGTTTTAGAAGGGGGATGATTTTGACTGTTTATTTCAGGGGGGATGACATCCCTCCTCAACTCGAGTACTGGGCATACAGATAAATGCCACGGAGTAGCCTAATGCATTTCATACTGGCATCTCCGTGATTTAATATAGCCTACACTGTAAAACCTAATAAGTTGGCTTTACTTAAAAAAAGTATGCAAACTCGTTGCCTTAAAAAAAATAGGTTTTTAAAAACTTGAGAAAATAATTACAATTAACTTGTAATATTTAAGTTAGCAGAACTTAAAATAACTTAATAAATCTAAGTATGCTGAAATTACATAATGTAATTAAAAGAACTTAAAGCTATCCAGTATATTTAAATTAAAGAAAATGCTTTGTGTAAACTTATTTTCATTTTCAGTGTACAGGATAAAACTCAGTTGACCTAACTTAAGCAAATAATTTAATTCAAATTGTTCATAGCCCTATTCATTAATTTTGTCACAATTCTACTGTACCAGCTATATTACTACTTCATTTACCAATATTCACATTAAGTTACCATTTAAAACAATGTCTTAACACACGTTGAGTTATTTGAGCTGACATTTATTTTAGAAATGCAAAATCTAGATCCAAAACGTTTAAATAACTAGATGCACAGGCTTTCCCATTGACATCAAAAATGAATATGAGGCACCTCCAGACATTTATTTAAAACCAGTACTGAAGTGCTTAAAACATGTATTGCAGACTTAAGGTATGATCGAGTAATCAGGTACTGCAAGTAACTGCAAGTACGGCAAGTAAAATAAACAAAATTCTAAGGAAATCGTAATACCACAATGTGCGTCATGCCCCGATCGTCCGCTCCTCTTGTGTGCAACGCTCCCTTGTTAACCGCATGTGGATTCCCTGTGTTTACCAGCTGTTCCTGATCGTTGTCAATTAGTCCATTGTATTTAGTCCGCGTTTCCGTTTGTTTCCCCAGTCCGGTCATTGTAGTGTCATTCTGTGTTATTGCTGTTTATTACACGACTCTCTGGAATGCTTGATTCTGATTGGTCAGTTGAGACATTTGCAGGTTCGTTCTTTTCAAATAATAACCGCTCCAAAGTAATAACGCATAGCCGGTACTACTTGTATGTTTAAAATGTTAGTCACGTTGTACTAATT